TTCCCTACCACCCACAGAGGGAACATCTAGTACAGCTGGTCACTCTGTGCTTTTGAAACAGCCACAGAATTTGGAAACATTCCATGGTTGAAGGTTTCTGGGTTGCAGCCAGTGCTGAGTGACAGATGGGAGAGCAGGTCAGTCACAACAGCCCCCGTGGCTGCAGCAGCGCAGAGGTCATCAGCCTCAGAGTTGCTTCCTTCAGGAACATCCCAGCTGCAAACCTACTGTTCTTGGTCTAACTGGTCTCCTGACAAAGCCTGGAAATTCTAATGAATTCTGTGCCACCGTATTCCATCTTCTATAAAACTCATCTCCTGCCCATCCACTCATCAGTTCAGGCTGGAGCACACAGATGTGCATATATACACACTTTTTCAGGCTTAATATTGTATGGGTGAAGAAGGAAGGAAGATGAGGCAGACCTTCATTTTGATAAAGCAAAGGAAGGAGTAGAGCTTCCTGGACTCATTCTGCTCCTTGCCTCTTCTTTCTTGGGGTAATCGCTTCCTTCTTCTCCTTCATGCTTAGTTCTAAAATTCTTTTATCTTCTGAGGACAATGAGGACCATCTGAGAGAACTATGGTTGTTCAGCCTGAAGAACAGAATGATCTGGGGAAACCTTATTGCAGCCTTTCAATACATTCAGGGGACCTATAAGAAAGACAAGGACAGGCTTTTTAGTAGGGTCTGTAGTGAGAGGACAAGGAGTTATAAACTAAAAGAGGGTAGATTAAGACTAGATATAAGAAAGATTTTTTATGATGGGGGTGGTAAAACACTGGAACAAGTTGCCCAGAGAAGCGATGGATGCTGCATCCCTGGAAACATTCAAGGTCATGTTGGATGGGACTCTGAGCAACCTGATATAGTTGAAGATGTCTCTGCTCATTACAGGAGGGCTGGACTAGATGACCTTCAAAGGTCTCTTCCAACCCAAACTATTCTATGATTCTATGACAAGATAGAAGAGGTCTGGCAGCAGCTTCCACTGGCCACTTTTGCACAGGAGTAGGGGAGAGGTTGGATAGGGAGAGACTGGTTTGCAGGGGCTCCTCTCATCCACTAGTCTTGGCTCTCATGGTACTGTCATGGGAGAGAAAACAGTTGGATGAAACAGCATCCCTTGATGAGTTTGCTCACCTTCACAGAGAACACACAGGTTCACACAACACTTCTTTGTACTAGTAGTCTGGGCAGGTGAGGAAGTGTGGCAGAACCCTATCTCCAGAGGAGAAGAGGGATAGAGCAGCCATTGGGTGGCAGCTTCTTCCTAGAAGCTGCATACCTTCATTTTCAGCCTCCACAAAAAATTGGTCCTTGTGATGTTTCATCCTTGACACTTTTGGACACTGGGAAGACCTGAAAAACCTTCATTACACCTCATCACCCCACCACTCCCTCTTCAGAGTCTCTTCCCTGCTTACACCTCCTCCAAAGTTTGGATGATAAAGGATGGAGGAGGAAATCCACCCTTCTGCTTTCACAGCCCACTTCTAACCCTTGTTCAGCTCCCCTGGAAAAGCAGTGTGGTACCCCCAGCTGTTCGCTGGAATGAGGTAGGAAGGGACTGGGTGAGACACACAGGGAGAACAAAGAATATTACAGCAGTCATCATCCCAACCATGAAGTCATGCCTGCTCCGCCTTCAGCTAACGGCCTCTGCCACAGAGTTGCTGTTGTGGTGAGAGGGGAGGAGGGACTGGAGGGTGATCATCAAGTAAAGTTCCTTCTTCCACTTCCTCCCTCCTTGCAACCTGCTATTCACTGCGGCACAAAGGCTGATACTCACATTTGCCCATCTCTCCCTGCTGTCTGCCTTGGCCTGACTTTCCTTTGCCTGACTTTCCTTTGCCTCAGGCTCTGTCCTCCGCCACGGGTCCAGAGACATGCAAGCCATCAAGTGTGTTGTGGTGGGAGATGGGTAAGTACCCTGCGGGTTTGTTGTGGGTGCAGGGAGGGACAGGCGAAGACAAGGAGCATGAAGGAAGGTGGTTGCTTGGTGAAACTTCTCCAGCTTTGCTTCTGACCTCCTGCAGACTTGCTACTACTGCAAACTGGCTCTCTCCTCCCCCCCACCCAGGGAAAGGGACTTTCTTCTGGGGACAGTGTGGAAGGGCATCTCCAAAAGGAGCATGGAAAGGGAAGCAGGTCTGTTCCATGCACGGGAGGTGGTGGTGTTCCTGCCAGATTCAACCTGTAGGTAGGAGTCAGATTTAAAACCCAAGAGGTGCAAGTGCTCTCCTGCAGGTGAATGGCTCCTTGTAAGCATTGCTCACTGGGAATGATTGGGAGAGGGTATGGCACTATGGTCCTGATGGGATGTCCACCAGGATCTCTGTGGTCAGCTTTGCTCAGCATATTATCACTGTATTGGGGTATGCTGGCGACTACTTGGCAAGGGGTTTCTGTGGGCACAAGGAGGAGGAACTCTTTCCACTGAGACCAGCACAGGTATAGTCCCACTTTGGGAGCAGGAGGTAACAGAGCTTTGCCCTCACAGCACAGTGGCTTCACTGCCCATGTCCCATGATCCTTGGAATTGGCCTGATCCAAGCCATCAAGAAGTGAAGCAGTCATCACTGCTTGGGGCAGAAGGGATGGAGTGGACAGGAGCTCTTCTTGCCCTGTGGGATGAGTAGATACAGAGAAGGAAGGGAAAAGAGTTCATGTTTGGAATGAAGTAGCTCAATTAGTTTCCCACCTAGAGGCTGGCCAGACTGTATAAGGTAGCAGATGAAGAGAGATTTGCAGCAGTCCTGCTCCCCACAGTCACTTCCTCCTTCAAAACTCGCCTGGGGAAAAAGATGTCTGCAAACATAACAGTACATGTCAGACATGTTATGAGGGGCTGGGACAAGGGGATGGGGAGAAGGGACAAGGAAAGACATAGCCCCAAATAAAAACCTTTACTTCTAAGAAAAGTTTCCTGAATGCTCAAAACTAGAGCTAGATGGAGAACTCCACTGGGCATTTATCTGTTGTCCTCTTACCCACCCCCACTTTTCCTCTCACACGTTGCACCAACTCTGTATCCTTCTCTCAAGGCAGCATTCCCCTTATATCATGGCTAACTCCACAACATGTCCTGATCTCAACCCCCATGACCTCAGTTCCTCTAAAATATCTTCTGTTCCATTATTTTACTTCTCTGTACACCACACCTCTGTACACCTCTCACCATCTTGCAGCACAGCAGTCCAGTGATCCCTCTAAGCTCTTCGTTCACCACCCCTCACCCCTCTCCCAGCCCTACCAGCCATGTCACCTTCTTGGCTCAACCTTACTAACCACAGGACCTTCTGCCATCACTCAGCGAAGCCCACATGTTGCCCAATGGCTGTTCCGCCCTCATAGCTCTCCAACTCTTCTTTCCCTCACCACAGGCTTTGCCTTGACCACAATACCTCCTCCTCTCCTTGACAGACTTATTGCCCCTTTTCCCACTATTGCTCTCACCCAGTCTGGACTGTGCTGCTACTCTGGCTTATTTGCCTTCTACCCTGCTGCAGCATGGGTGTGGGGGAGGGTGAGGAGGCAGGAAGCACCAGTTTCTAGCTCAGAAACACCAGCAGCAGCCTCTGTCAGCCACGGGGCACAGGCACCACTCTGGCTGCTTACAGCTCTCTGTGCAGATGATGTCGCAGCTTACTGTAGATGGGCAAGACTGGAGCATGCCATGGCTAAGTCAAGAAGAGTTGCTACCAGTCCCTGGCCACAGTGTTTGCAAAAGCAGACAGGAGTGCCTGTATTTGAGTGCTGTAACTGGCTTGGCAGCTTTGTCTTGGCACACTGAATCAATGCACTTGCTCTGGCTGTGAGCATACAGCACTGGAAAATGGGTTATCACCTCCATCTCAGAGTGGATGCATTTTAGATGAGTGATCTCTGTACCAGACTGTAAAAACAAGCCTTCATGCTCAAAGACAACAAACATTTCTGGGTGACATCCTGTCTCTCTTCCTGCCAGTTATCTAACCTATGGTTATGCGCTCTCTGGTCCTGTGAATGTGTTTCTACTTCCAGGGTTCTCCTGACTAGGCTAGTTTAGAGGTGTGGAAGGATTGTCCCATCTCCATCTCACCATAGCAAGACTGTCTGCACTGCCATGACTTCCCTCTGTTTTTAACTTTCTCTTCCAGAGCTGTGGGGAAAACCTGTCTCCTTATCAGCTACACCACTAATGCCTTCCCAGGAGAATACATCCCCACTGTGTGAGTAATGCATAAACTGGTCCTGGGGTGGGTGGGAGGCACAAGTAGGATGCAAAGGGGTGCAGTAACTCCTTGTTGCACAATCCATTGGTCATGATCTCCATGCCAAGCGGAGGAAGGTCTGCAAAACCAGCAAAAGTGTCTCTACACTTTGGATCTATTACCTTTCACTAGCAGCATAAGTGGCCCTGTTAAACCTTGGTATAAATGGGATATTTGGGACACAGTTGAACTCAAGGTCTGCCTGTTTGCTAAGTTTACAGGTAGTAGATGGGATCCTGTTTGTCAAAACAAACAGGCACTAGGCTACAAAAGGTAGGCCAGACCCAAGAGAAGGCAGTTGGACAGACACGGGTCCCCAGTTCCTTCTTTGTCCAAGGCACTTGCTGTCATTGGAGCAGGCATAGATTCTGCATGGAGTAGAATCCCAGAATTGGTTGGAAAAGACCTCTAAAATCAGTAAGTCCGACTGTTAGCCTAGCTCTACCAAGTCCACTACTAAACTGTGTCCCTTACAACATCAGCATATGCCATGAACACATTCACAAGACTTTTCTGTTGCTTCCTTCCTATCACTGGTTTCCTTCACCTTTGTCTGAAAAAAAATACCAGAAGGACCAGGAAATAAAATTTTCTAGGATGAGTTGCTGTAATATCCTTTTTTTCTATCAAGTCTTTTCTGCCAAGCATGCAATCCTGACACCTGTTCTCAAATATTTCAAGCTGGGTTGTCAAAGTAAGGGGACACATCGTCCTCAGTTCCAGCAGGGATGCTGAAGAGTGCAGGGCTCTGGGGGAGCTACAGAGACATGGGTGGTTGTTCTTCATTTTTAAGAAGAAAACTAGATTTTAGAGAACAAAAGAAAGACAGGGGTTTGGATAGAGCAGACAGTTGTGGGAAGGATGTTGGGGAAAGAAATGGGAAATGAAAGGGTTTGTGGATCTGCACATAAGGTATCAAAGGTGGAACTGCAGCCAGGCACCTGCCCAGGATAGCTGGATGATGGGGAGGAGGTTGATGCTGAGTGGAAAGTCCATAGGGTGGAAGTCAACAGGAAACCAGCATCACCCAGGTGAACTGAGAAGAGTAATCACTTCCCTTTGCTTCTGGGTGCACGTAGTGATCCCCACCTATAATACTGGAAGGGCTCCCTCTTCTCCTGTTTGAGCTATGGCCTGTGCCTCTGAATTTCAGGTTTGATAACTATTCTGCCAACGTGATGGTTGACAGCAAGCCTGTAAATCTGGGACTATGGGATACTGCTGGACAAGAGGATTATGACAGGCTGAGGCCGCTCTCTTACCCGCAGACGGTGGGTCACACTCCATGTCCCTCATCCCTTCTTCCTCCCTCAGGTATGCCTCCTTCCTCCACTGCAAAAATCAACACATGCCATAAAACAGTGGCAGTACTGTTCTTGTCTCTCTGCCCATTTCTGAAAATATCTCTGTTGATATACAAGTGCCTTGAAACCCAAAAGGTAAAAGACATCTAAGGATATTTTGGAGCCTTTATCTAAACTTCCATTGATGGCATAACTTTGCAAGAAAAGCAAGATATTCAAAGACACTTTTGAGCCCAGCTGACCCTGACTTCAGTGTGGGGTAGATGCCCTACACAGCCCTGGGAAAAAAGTCTCCTTCTGTAAAGCTGAAGTGGCTCAGGGAATTTAGGAGCTAAGGCAGGAGCTTCTTACATTTCTGTGAACTCCACCATTCTGGCTCCTGCCTTCTGAAAGAGATCTGACGCGTGGACACGTGTTTGATCTGCTGATGCCTCTAGCAGAACAGATGCCTCAGATACTGTGTTCACCAGTTTACCATGCTGACAGAGCCATTTCAGGGTTTAAAGATCACCTTCCCTGGAGAACGTTGTTTCAAGCAGTCTTTTGGCCAACTCAGAAAGACCCTGCTGTCTCAGATGTTGGTCTGAAGGTTGCCACCACAATCAAAAAGGTCAGGAATTGAGGGTACTGTTTTTTGGGCTAGGTTCAGCCACCTAAAAGTCATCAAACACTTGGTATAAGCTGTTTCCCTGGGCTGTTTCTGCAGTAAGTGCAAGCAGGCATAATTCTTAACAACATGCGTGCACACACCCTGGGACACATCCCAAGGTCAGGTGTGGGGATGGTTCTCCAAGGTTTTTGCCTCTGATGATTGCAGAAATATGGAAATGGATAGGCTGGGCCTGACAACACTGTTTCATCTAGATGAATCAGGATGAAATGAATATATCTGTATGAGCTGATTTTGGTTTGGTTTGGTCCGGTTTTAATGGAAGTCTAAATTCTGCTATGCCCAGGAGTAGCACTTACCTGGAGAACCAAAACTATCTGATTTGAGTCCTATGTGTGCCCTTTTTCGGCTGAGCCTAGTTCTGTCTCAACTGCAGGCCAAATTATTTTGTCCTGAAAGCTCCCTGGTGTTCTGTGAGAAATGAGCAGGATACTGTCAGGCCGCTTCCCATGAGGATGAGTGTACCAACCGCAAAAACCCCATCCTTGTAGTTGACCGTTTGGTGCTTCTGATAATGGTGGCTATGGTTACCATGAGTCAGGGGAGCAACCATCCTTCTCTCCTCTAGAGGCAACAAGCAGCAGTCAGGACTGTGTCACATTGTGAGAGACAGCTTTCCATAGAATGACCCTCTGCTGCAGAGGGAGGGTGCTGCCCACACAGATCTTCTCTCCCCTCCCTGCCTCTTGTCCTGCCATCCCATACTCGCATCCTAACTCTGCACTGTGGTTGTATGTTTACAGGATGTCTTCCTGATCTGTTTCTCCCTTGTCAGCCCAGCATCTTATGAAAACGTCCGTGCTAAGGTGAGACAGACTATCCTGGTCCATCAAGGGAGGGAGGGGGATGAGATTGGTGGAGGTATTGCAAGGACAGTGACTGTGGGTGGAGACTACAAATAGGACATCTAGGTTCAGAGAGGTCATATCTTTTTTCTGTCAGTCAGAAGGAACTAAAACATCAGCCTCCCCCAGATGCCTTTTCTGGTTCATCTCAAAGAAGGTGACCAGCACTCCTAACAGGATAGTATTCATTTTGCTGGGCTATTGTGCTGTCAGACCACAGACTTATTCCCATGGCATCTTTCAGCCAAGACTGTCACAGCACAGACACCAGGATCAGTCCACAGGATACGAAAAGCAAGTACCCACAGCATTTAGATGGGAAGCAAGGGAAGAAGGGAAAAATTGATGAAGAGGAAAACAACAGTATTTCCTTCCTACCACTTTCAGGTTCCTCCCTGGGTTCCAGCGAGCAGTGAAGGGCAGAGGGCAGAGTTTGAGCTCCATGTCATAGATTTTTCCTGAGGATCCAGCAACAGGGGCTGTCCTGAGTCAGGGATAGTGCCCAGCAGTGGATGTGAGGAAGGACAGGCTGTTAGCTCTCTTGCTGACATTTTTTCAGGAGTGCTTCTTTGTTTCCCTTGTGCATGTCCATGTGTATGAATTCTTCTCACACCTTTGCCATTTTACTCCATTGCCAGTGGTTCCCTGAGGTGCGACACCACTGCCCTAGCACTCCCATCATCCTTGTGGGTACAAAGTTGGATCTTCGTGATGACAAGGACACCATTGAGAAGCTGAAGGAGAAGAAGCTATCCCCCATTACATATCCTCAGGGCCTTGCTCTGGCCAAGGAAATTGGTATGTATTTGGGGAAACATCTTGGACCTACTGAAGGGCAGAAGATGAGGGTTTCCCCTCAACCTAAGGAGGTATCTCACTGTGATATCTCTGAGGGACACAAGGAGACACATCAAGGGTCATGGTACAAAATGTGCTTCTGGAGACTCAGGAAGGAGATCTGCTCCTTGAGGAAGACTCAACCTCTCAGCCCTCTGTTTTCTGCCTCTCTCTGGCCACGTACACACACAAGTACATGCTTTCACATTTCACTCCCCTTTTGTTCTGCTATTTCTATCTGGGACAATATTTTTCTGTGAAAGCCACAGCTGCTGTGTGGGCAGAGGCCTCTCCTCCACATCCGGAAAGAGGCAGAAGAGTGAGATTTTTAACATCTCTCAGGAAGAGTTGCAACTGCAGTTTCCCGTCCCTGCCTCTGTCTGCTGGGGTTTGTACATGCAATCCCAGGTATGCATGTCTTACCCCACCATTCAGCACAAAGGCATCAGCTTCCCTCCTAACTTCAGAACATGCATAAATACCTGCTCAAGGTAAACTCTCTTCTCAGGTGGCACAGAGAGGTAGGAAAGAGGGTGGGAAACAGCTTGAGGGAGTTTTTGACTGGGAGTTTGGAGGAAGGGGAGTCTGGCCAGAATGACACAGCCAGCCATGTACAATGGCTACAAGGGCGGAGAATAGACAAATCTTGGTCTTGTACGGTTGGCAAGCTTTGCCCTGAAGTCAAGACCGTCTGAGTGAATGAAGTGTGTCCTGACAACGCATAATGTCTGATCACCTGAGATGTGTTTATTCCATTCGGGCACGACGCAGATGCCTTGCTTTCTAGCACATGCAGCAGAAACCTGAGTACCCTCACTACATACCCCAGCTCCCTTCCTCCTCATTGCAACACCTGCTTTCCTCTCAACAGACTCTGTGAAATACCTCGAGTGCTCAGCTTTGACGCAGCGTGGCCTCAAGACGGTGTTTGACGAGGCCATCCGAGCAGTCCTGTGTCCGCAGCCCACACGGACAAAGAAACGTGCATGCAGCCTCCTCTAAGCAAGTAAGTCTGACAGGGACCCCTGGGAGTCACACCAGCGGCACTTTCCTGTTCCTGAACCCAGATGGTGAGGGCCACTGAGTTCCTGTGACCTGCTGAGCCTGGTGGGATGGGTGACCTTCAAAACCAAACAGGAAGACAGCAGTCCTGCTTGGGGAAAGGACAGGGCATGGTATAATGGAGCCTGGAACTACTTCCCCCTTCTTTCTTGCTCCATCTTCTGGTGCAGGGCACCCTAAAATTTTCCACATTTGCCCTCACAGAGAAGAATTGTCTGTCGCCTTCTGCTACAGAGGGAACTACGTCCAGGCTGACCTGGAGATGACCTGCTCTGAGAACTATGAAGCCACAGTCTTTGCCTATAGAAAAAAAAACCCAACCCAAACCAGAATAAGCTGTTCCTTATTCATGGGAGTTGTCTCTTCCTCTTCAAGGCCCTTCCTCTTACCAAGGCCTGCTCACCTCAAGGGGTTTTTTATGTTGTTGTTCATTAGTAGGCAGCAACTTCTACTCCAGGAGTCCTTTACTCCTCATATTGTCCCTATCTGCCCTTCCACTTCAGCTCAAGGCAGCAGAGGGAGGAGAGAGGCTTCAGGACAAGAGTCAAAGCTGGCCAAAGCCTGATAGAAGAGTGAGAGTTTGCTGGTTGGGACCCTGCCCCTTCATATTCCCACCACCACCACCAGGGCAGAGGGAGGGAGAACAGGAAAATAGTTGAGCTGGTAGTACAAGGTCTGTTGTGTTTTTGGCTACAGATCTCAGCCCCATCTTGATGCCAGGCTCTGCCCAGCACGCAGGAGAGTGATGGCTCCAGCATCCCGGAGCTCAGCATCTCGTGGCGGTCATTGTGCTTTTTACTTCAGCTGGCTTAAAAGACTGTTGTGAGTCTGTAGCA